GAGGCTGAGACTTGTTACTCCCCCCATTCGTGGCCTTCGGACGTTTAGATTGTGCCTTCCCAGTGCTGTCTGCTGCTGACACTTTGCGCTTGCCGGCTTTGGCGACGCACGCGCTGCAGATGCGGTGATTCTCGTTGCCTACATCAACCACACTGCCGCAAATGCCGTGCAGTCGCCCGCCACATCCTCCCTGGCAGCCGTGACCATGAGGGTCTTGCGGCGTGGTGTCCTGTAGTTGGCACAGTTCACCTTCCGCACAGGGCATGGTACGCCCCTGTGTAGAGCTGTTCGGGTCTGCAGCAGCACGTGTACCCTATTTCTGTGTGTGGAGTCTATGTTTTCTGCCCTGGGTTGTGCGTGTGTGTGTTTCGCGCGTGCGGAGTACCGGCACTATTGGGGGTGACAGCAGTGCCGAACCGGCACTATATCGGGCATGCTTTAATTAGTGCCGGTCTGGCACTATTGAGAGCTCCGCCTGTGTGCAGAGATTTTACCGGCACTATACCGGGCATCTGGCACTATTCAACCGGCACTAAAAGGGTCCCTCGACTGTATTGCCGTTCTACAACAAGTTATGCTTCTGTTTCCCGTGGCATTCGACGGATCGCGTTTCAGCGCATCTCTTGAACTGCATTTTCTCTCTATTTTCGTTGCCTTTCGTTTGTCCATGAACTGCTCAAATTGACGATGGGTATGCATCGCATCGTGAATTGACGAAATCATAGGGGATATATAGGCTCTCAAGGGTACTTACAAAAAAAAGACAAGAAAGACCCATCCTGAACAAGATAAAAGAGGTTCGCCGATTCATGGGGCGCTAAGGGCACCGAATGTAGTTTGGCATCGCCATATTTTGATATTCTGGTCTTCCCGCAACCGCCGAAGGTGGTACCGCCATAGTTTAGTACCGCCATATTTGGCAGTACCGGGAACCGCCGAAGGCGGTACCGCCAGAAAAGTACCGCAATAATTGGCAGTACCGGGAACCGCCGAAGGCGGTACCGCCAGAAAAGTACCGCAATAATTGGCAGTACCGGGAACCGCCAAAGGCGGTACCGTCGGAAAACGAAATACCGCCTACAGCCAAAAAAATACCGCCACATTGAAGTACCGCCCCGCCTGAATCCGCCCAAGAGACTAATCCACAAAAAAAAACAGCCAAGCGAATGTGGGCACAGGCAATGACGTTAGCGGCACGAAATGATCAACAAGGTTCGCGTGAAAAGACACGCCTGGGTACTGATGATAGAATCATACAAGCACCCGCAGCAGCATTGCTCCACTTGTCTATGAATACGTAATAGGAATATCCACCCACCGCTTGGTAGAGAGCCTGGGGGTTCTGCAGGTCCTCCACGGAGATTGGCATCATCACCGAGCCATCGCGGTGCAGGTAGCCTCGCACGTCGACTGGGTCCGTTTCCTACATACGTTGGCGGCATTCAGCGCCAGGGGCGGGGCGTTCGAAACAGGAACGACAAGATCTGCACGACTTCCAACCTACGTGATGCAGAAAAACATTTTTCGCCCCGACGCGCTCATGCAACTACATCGCAACTGCATCGTGCGCTCTCTTGGGTACGACAGTAGTGGACAGTGGAAGCATTCAAACGTTGTTGCGGTTTTGGTGGCTCTGTCGCACCGGGCTGTTGATGTTGGGACCAGATGGACCAATAAGCACACAAACAAGTGCGTTTCCAATAAACACAAATGGACATTCAATGGATATCCAACACCGCACGAACAACGTGAATGTGGTTGGACACCACTTCATCTAGAGAAGACAGAGCAGGTTCGATTCCGCCTTACCGCTATAGCTCAACGGTCGACAAAGATTCGACAGCTAGCCCCCGTTCACCTGCTGCTCTGGCAAGGCCCCAGCCCTGCGCTCGAAGGACTGGAAGTCTCTCGTGGTCTCCTCGAAGGCGGGCACTGCCGCGTGTCCGGCAGTGTCTGCCGTAGCGAGCTTGCCGATCTGAGTTATCACGACGAGACACCCAGCAGAGGTACATGCCTTACTCTCGGGTTGGACACGAAGCTCACAGCGAACCAGTGCTGCACGCAACCCCCCCAAGATACAGCAGCGAAAAATCCATT